ATCTGTCTGGTCAAAAGAAGTTGGCCAAGTTAGTAATGTTTCATATTAAAAACAAAGCCTAAATCAAAAAGAATCTGAGCTTGAAAATATTTCAGCTTGGTTGAATGGCTGAAGTTCTTTTGACTGCTTGTTTTCTTCCCCCCCACCCCTTCTTTTTTTTTTTTTAGCAAACAAATTTGATAGTGCTTTTTGCCATAAAATGAGCATGGAGGTGTGGTGAGTATTATGTTTTCCTGAATTCTATAAAAAGCTGGAGGAAGAGACTGGTAGAGAGGAGGCAAGATTTATGAAGCTGTTTCTGAGACTTTTAGAAAGAAAAAGAAAGCCTGGGCAGTTAGAGTTCCCATCCACTCTACTCAATGTCACTTTCTTATGTGGCTTTCACAGAGAGGAATACAACTGATTGATGGAAAGAAAAATGCTTGCAGGGCAATTCTAAACAGCTGGAGAGGATGGGAAAAGAAAATGGTTTAATTCAGTACAACTGCTGCTGCTGGTTAGGTCACAAATATGATGAATTTGATGGCTGCAGCCCAGCTTTCTGGTGAATTTCTTCTTATAGCCTAAACGCAAGGCTCAGCCTGGTAGAACAAATGTCTGATCACTGAGGAAGGTACCCTGCTGTTCCTGACTAGTCCTAACCTGCTTCACTAACAAATAGTGTGGATGCTGTGCTGCAATTTATATGAGGAAGTTGGCTTTTCTGTTTATCTATCTACATCATCTTTTAGTTCTGAGAACTTGGATCTATTGTATGCAAAAAGGCCCATATATGATGTTCTTTTTAACTTCCTATGCTAACTTAAAAATGTTTGTTTATAACTTAAGATGCTAATAGCTATAAAGTACCCCAAAAAACAAAGAAAGTAAGTGTTTATGTTTGGGGTAGTTGATTATAAATCTTTCACTAATGGCTAAATAAGTGCTAGGGACATCAGTTTACAGTGCAGTACAGTGTACCTAGCCATCTAGCAATTGCTGCAAAATGTAGCTGAGGAGAAAGATTTAATTGTAGGATTTCCTTAAAACAAAAAACTACATGCAAGGAGGCAGATTACATGGACTAATATCTGAGATTCTAAAGAGAAGCTAAGAAACGACTAAAAACCCTGTGAATTTGACATAAATTCTTTCACTTTGCTGGTCAGTAAGCACTAAGACATGCATGCTGGTTTCATCTCTTTAATATCTGATCACTCCTAATGTGTGTGTACATGCATACACACCTCTTAATCAGGACCCATGGTTTATCTATGTATTGTGAATAACTTTGTGCTATCTATTCACTAAGCTTTTCTTTTGCCCTGGGGGTCACTTTTTTTTAAATATGCCTAGAGTTAAAAGTAGAAGATATTTTTAAGGTTTTAGGATTGGATTAGTTGTTGCTTCTGTGACTGATGGCTTATAGTTAAGCAGATAACTATGGCAAAGACTGCTGAAAACATCCAAGTCACCCACAGAAATTTGAGCAATCCTCTGCAACTACATAAAAACAGTAAGCCTAAATAAGAGGGAAGCACAAAACTGAGAAAAGGAGCTGCTACAAGGGTTAGGTACTCTAGCTGAACAACAGAAAACCAACTTTTGAAGATGGTTACAAAAGCTGAAGGCATCTACTGACTTTAACAGATTAGGCTTTTTATAAAAATAACTAGAGAGAGGCATCTTAATCTAGGAGATGCAGGAGTACCATTTATCCAAAAGGTGGACAGGATCCATCCAGAAGTGTGTGTCCATCTCTGTCATATCTCCCCTGTATGAACCCTATAGTGATCATAAGAAATGCATGGCTTTTTTACTTGGAAACGGTACCAATTCTTTCTGTCTTATAGATGGGAGTTGGAAAGGGGGCAGGGTAAAGAAGGAAAAAGAATATCTTCAACACAAGCAATACTCCTCCACACACGCTTTTCTTAGAATCTGCCATGTTTGGCCTGCTTTTAGGATAACCTGAAGAATCTTAAAAGAACGAGTTATGTATGTCACTACCAGGTATCCAGCCGACATCAGCTAAATACATTATGCAATTTTCCTTAAAGTGCTGTGAAAGATGGGGTGGTTGGCTCTTTGTTTTACACTGATCTAAAGATGGAACTTTTGGTATAATTTTCTTTAATTCTTTTTCACCCTAGAATGGGTGGAAAACTGATGTGCTTGTATGTCCTGTAAGAGAGAAACAAAAAAGTGGCAGCCCTTTCCTCCATTGTAGTGTATGATGTGCTGTCCAATCATGTTTAAGTCACTTGTACACACCTGCCCAACTGCAGATTTGCTCCCACAGATGCCAGAGGTATTAGATCAAAGGAGTGTGGAAAATTTTATTGACCTGTAGAGCTTCCTCCAAAGCTCTTGATACCTATTGACTGACTCAATGCCTTACTGTCTTGAAGTCTTATATCCAATACTTGTTTTTGAGCCACGTTCACCTTCTTTCAGCAACCCTTTAAATAATACTGAAATAGGAGTACCAGTATGCAGTGTATGAGTAGTAGTTTTCCAGGCACATACGAATAAGAAATTGGAGACCTTTGCCATTTATTGAATGTATCTCAAACTTGCAACTGTTTTCTGAAGCTGCACAACAGAATAAAATTGAGGAAAATGTAGTGCTTGCCCTGAATATCAGATAACACACTCAGCTCTCACTGAATGGGGCTCAGAACTCCAGATACTGGTTGAGGGAGAAATGAACTGTATGCCTGTGTTGTCATTTGAAAACGTGAAGTGGTAGGTCTTCATCCAGCTTACTGCTTTAACTCTCTAGACAATGCACTTTCTTGCAGAATAGCTGACATCAGATTTATTTAATCCTTTGTCAAGTAGCTGTGCTCAGCTACCATGTCCTCTCCTAGCAAATACCCTGACATATGTCCGCTTGTGCCCCTGCTGTAAAACACGTTTGCCCATTTTCCCAGCAGCCTAATTCTCACAAGCAGCTCAACCTTTTTCCTTCATTATGTTCACCAGTCAAAATTCCTTTGAATTTAAAATAGCACTGAGAAAAATGTGAGCTTATCTTATTTCCATCAAGCAAATTCCCAGAGTCTGTTTCTTAGACATTAGACTAAGGGCTTAACAGAAATTAAGCAGGCATCAGAGAGTGCCAAATGGGATGTTTCCTTGTGTTCATTTGCTTTGCCTTAATTTTTCAAAATTCCCTGTTATGCATAAAATGACTAAATGCAAAATGTCAACCTCTAGCCTGGATGCTTTCACAGAATGGTCAAGGTTGGAAGGGACCTCTGGAGATCATCTAGTCCAACCCCCCTGCTCAAGCGGGGTCCTCTAGAGCACATTGCACAGGATCGCATCCAGACAGGTTTTGAATATCTCCAGCGAAGGAGACTCCACTACCTCTCTGGGCAACCTGTGCCAGTGCTCTGTCACCCTCACAGGAAAGAAGTTTTTTCTCAGGTTCAGATGGAACTGCCTGTGTTTCAGTTTCTGCCTGTTGCCTCTTGTCCTGTCGCTGGGCACCACGGAGAAGAGACTGGCCTCATCCTCTTGACACTCCCCCTTTCAGATACTTATACACATGGATCAGATTCCCCCCTCAGTCGTCTTTTCTCCAGACTGAACAGGCCCAGCTCTCGCAGCCTTTCTTCACAGGAGAGATGCTCCAGTCCCCTCATCATCTTTGTAGCCCTCTGCTGGACTCGCTCCAGTAGTGCCATGTCTCTCTTGTACTAGGGGGGAGCCCAGAACTGGACACACAACTCCAGATGTGGCCTCACCAGGGCTGAGTAGAGGGGCAGGATCACCTCCCTCGACCTGCTGGCAACACTCTTCCTCATAGGTGCAGGACCCTGCACTTGCCTTTGTTGAACTTCAGGAGATTCCTCTCTGCCCAGCTCTCCAGCCTGCCCAGGTCCCTCTGAATGGCATCACAGCCTTCTGGTGTTTCAACTGAGAATAGACTGTAGTGTTTCTGAGGAAGAAATTGAGCAGACGTGGCTTAATAAGTCAAGGCTGCCCTGAATACTAGCCACTATTGGTGTAGCTGTAAATGTCTTGGGTCCTCTACCATCCTTGTCAGTGCCTGCAGCAGTAGGCCTATCTGAAGCTGAGAGGCTCCGGCCTGCAAAATGCTGTTAGCAATTTTGCTGTCTATCTGGAAGACTATTGTGAAGGCACAGTACCAAACAGCAGAACTTCAAAGGATAAGCCCTGTAATGTGTGTGAAAGAACCAAACTACAAATGCAGCCAATTAATAAACTATTCTCTCCCTCTCCCTTTTTTTTAAGGTGGGGGGGGGGAACAAAAAGTTCCCTTGTTTCCTACCTGTAAGTGACTCTTCTTCAGGATAAGTAGATAGAAATACATTTTCGGAAGGCTGGGTCTTAGAACGTTGTCATGTTTCAACAACGAACTAATTGTAACTGGCAATGGCAGGATCTCAAAGCTAACCGGTTGGAAGCAAGGCTACAGAATTAAGATATTCTTCCAGAGCATCTTGCATTGGGAAAATGGGCAGCTTCTCCTACAAGACAACTAGTATATCTTTTATGGAGTTGCTTTGGAAGCACTGTAGGACAAGCTACTTCAGTGGTAATTTGACACTTTGTGCCTGGATTCTGGTGGGGGTTTGAAAGTGGAAAATAACTGTTAGAACTCCAGTAATTTGATGAAACATGGCCCTGGGAATATTTGGGCAACTGAACTCATTTAAGGGCATATACATTTTGGCTAATTGGGAAGGAAGAAGCAATACCAACTGTAATTTTTCAGTGTGAAAATTGCCAAGAAATAAAAGAAGACTGTTTTTCCAAGTGACTTTTAGTGATTGGCATATCTCATTGCTAAATTCAGGTGAGAATATTATCTTCTTAAGCTCTCTAATTTGTAATGTTGAGAGATGGTTATTTGCAAGGGCATGCAAATGTCACATGAATTAGTTTCCTTCCTGTTGTTGCATTTTTTTGAGGGGAATGTATTTTGAATGCTTCTTTGGGCACTTGTTTAGTAACTCCACTTTCTTCTTTTGCTGTTGTGTATCCAGGATGCCGAGTGTATGACTTTGGAGATTTGAATTTCACTCAAGTTCCCAATGATGAACTGTACAACAACCTGGTTTTATACCCACGATCAGTGGGCTTAGCCGGTCAGGTGGTGGCTGATGCTGTGAGCAGAGCTGTAGCTGCTGGACATAGCTGTGTGACTATAGGAGGTGATCACAGGTGAGCTGAGCTAGAAACAATTGGTGTCATCTGCAGACATAGAAACAAATGAGGCTTTCCTCTTTGGGGAAGTTTGTGTGATTAGATCCCTTCAGGAACTGTTAACAGTTTCTTTACTGCTAAATGTTTAGTGATTTGTCTCTTTGTGCACCTTAACTCTTGCAACGCGAACTCTTAGGATAGGTTTGTAATGCCTGCACCCAGGCTGTTTTATAAGAGATCTTAAAATGCATGATTCTGCCTTACTTTTCTTTCTCACTAACCTTTGGCCTGAGAACAGGATGAAGGTGGTGGGGTATGTAAGTTGTGGGAGGTAACATAAGTGGAATAAAAAACAGGTGAATAAGGCAACTGATGAATGAGCATATTGGATTTTCTGAGATCATTTGGCACTAGAAAAGGTGAAAATTAAGAGTGTGGAAAGGCTGACAACGGAGAGAGACGGGCTCCTTCCCATCTCTCAGTACTAGTACCATCCTGTACAGTTATTTGTAGTTTGTATGAGGTGCCCCCTAAGATCATTGTCACCGATGTCTGATGTATTTTAAATATGACAGTGCTGGTGACTGTAGTTCCAGGGACTCCCCATTGTTCCTGTAGCTGTTCTGAATGTGAAATATTTTGCACAGTTGACTGAAGACTTTGCTACTGTACTTCCAGCTTGGCGGTTGGTTCTGTCAGTGGCCATGCACGGCAGTGCCCGCACCTTGGTGTGATCTGGGTAGATGCTCATGCTGATATCAACACCCCTCTTACAACTCAGTCTGGAAACCTCCATGGACAACCGGTTTCATTTCTCTTGCGAGAGCTCCAAGATAAAGTAAGTATCTTGCTGTACAGTTAGCCTACATTGAAATCCTCAGGACATTTTACTTCCTTTCTTGTGTGAGGTGCTGTCTTATCTGCTGCAAAGGCAGACTTACTGTTTTATCCGAGTACAAGTAACATTATTTGTGTGTGTATATATATACACACACATACATACACACACATACTGTGTGTGTGTGTACATGCACACACTTATAGAACAAGAAAAAGCTTTTGTTCTTGCTAGCATTCTCCTGCATTGTACAGGAATCAAGGGGTCAACAAAAGCTCTATGCAGCAGCTGCCATTCCTGGTGCCATGGTGCCATTCCTGCATAATGAGTATAGTTAATGTGCCGAAGCTGTGCAATGGCAGCAATTCTACCAACTGAGCCAAAAAGGGAACTTCCCCTGAGCTGAGCCTGTGAGAGCTGTGCAGAGCTCACCTCTAGCGGCAGCTGGTTCTTGCACGCCTCTTCTGCTTAGTTTGGCACTATGTGTTTTGACAACCTTGGGGCATGACAGGGGCTGCTGGTCTTACGTCAGCTCACCTGACTGGCTGCTCTAGTGCTGGCCTTCCTGCCAAATATTACAAATCAGAACTGCTATACCTGCTTACAGAGTGCTTGTAAAGAAACAGACTCTGCCTTAGAAAGGAGTCAAATTATCAAAAAGTACTGCTTACCAGGGCACATGGAATGTGTGGCCAGTTTTTGCTACTGTCACGATGTTAAATAATAGGTAGGTGTAAGGCCTATGTCATTTCCCTTTGGAATTTTCTACTGTTAGATGAATCATGGGGGGTATCACGTTGATGGAGATATGCCTCTTCCAAGTAAGATCAACAATGTCTAACATCTTCAGGGCTGTTGAGGATACTATTGCATTAGTACCTATCTGGCATAGCAAGACTGGTGTCATTGGGTAAATCTCCTCTGGTTCCTCTGCAAATTCACGGAGTGAATTTCTGAATAGAGTGGCTTGGTGCTTTTAAATAGCTTCCGCTTTCAAATAATTCTTGTACGGTCTCTGAAAACATGCTAGAATTCCCCAAGTAATGCAAAATGAATGGCACTTCCTAAAATGTCCCCCGGCCAAAAGCAGGTTAATAGAAAAGTATTCCTCATTTCTTCCCCATGAGTTAAAGAGGGTGATTCATACTTGGCCACTAAACCCACTTCTGTAGAGAGGGGATCGTGGTGGTGGAGAAATCAAAAATGTTGCGAGTTACAGCTCGCTTGAGGTCAACATTTTGGGTGAGAATAGAAATAAGCCAAGTTCTTTGATAGCTGGGGAAGCAGGAGAAAGGAAGATGCTGCTTTCCTCTTCATTAGGACAAAAGTATTTAATCTCTTAAGTTGTTGATTTCTGGTCTGCCAGCAGCAGCCTTGAAGGAAAAGTAAGATCAGGCTAACCTCAGAGGAAGGGCTAGTCACATACTGTGCTGGGTTATGAGATGTCGCAGGCCCACCTGAAGGTAATCAAGTCTCTGTCTGTCTGTCTGTCTGTCTCTCTCTCTCTCTCTCTCTCTGTCTTGTTCAGGAGAGCAATTATGTTTTTTTATCTAGACAAAAGATGCTGCCTTTCTTTCCTGACTATTTTGAAAGCAGTTTCAGGATTCCTTTTGAATCCTATCAGTCTCCCATCAGCAAGAAGGCTACTCTAGTCCTACGCTCTGCTAAGCATAATTGTCCTTCTCAAAAGGATATGCAAACTAACCCAATTGCGGTTTGCCTCTAAAGGAGGTTATGGTCTACAGCTTCTATCTGGGAGACACAACATAGCACTGGGAGAGGACAAAAGAGATTTTTGAGATAGGCCTAGTATCTCCTCCCTTGCTTTCATTTGCCCTTGGGGATCGAGAGGCCACTAATGTTTTGGAGTGTTCCTTCCCCCTTCCCAAAATGACAAATCTTGCGTGCTTCTCAGGGAGGAATCCTGTAATTCTTCCCAAACTCTCTCTGGGTCACAAGATTTGTTCATCAACCTAATAGTCTAATATTCTCAGCCAGGCTAGCTAACACCTGACTCACTTTGCAGACCATTTTTTGAGAGCTAGAGACAGAGAGGCTCCTCTGAGGAAATGAAAAAGGGCAAAACAACCTGTATGATGACATTTTTATCTTCCTGAATCACTGCCCATCTCTCCTAACTGGTCCTGTTCTTTCAGTAGCACTAAAATCCTTGTTCTTCATTCTCTGTCAAAAGAACATGTGATTGAGGTAGTAATTTAACATATGCCTCTTTTGTTAGCACAGCCCTTCTAAACTGTTCTGGACTCTGCAACAACTCAGTTTAGCTGCTCTTAACTTCCTGTGGGATTGTATAAGAACTGGATCAGGATCACTGTTTTTGCTAGGTTATTGTTTAAAACAGATCAGTTCCTTGACCTGCTTCACTGTATGACCCCCACAAAATGGCATAACATCGGGGGGAAGTGGTATGGCAGTGACTGCTTAAATTAAATTTGTGTGACTGAAGGGCGGGGGGTGGTGGGAGCAACAGGGCTGCTTTGAGTCCCACAGTTTATTTGTTATCTCATGGGTTTTCAGAATCCTTTGTGTATCCAGGGCCAATGAGCCCGGTCAGTGCTCTACTGAATTAAAGGTTCCCATGTAGCAGAGACCATGAAGTATAAAAACAGTGAATCTAACTATGAAATAAAATAAAGGGTTTGGCCAGGCTGCTGTAGAACAAAACTTGTTGTTGATTGTGCAGTCTGTTTCCAGCTTGTTGTCAATTACTACTTGTTTGCCCAGCAATGCCTGATACTCCTAGCAGCATGGTGGCACTTCATAGTTTTAAAAAAGGACTGATTTTCTAATCAATTTTATTGTTTTGACAGAAAATATTTATGAACACACATCCTCTGAATGGCATTTCTCAGAGCATTGGTGTCAGGGCTCCTGGAGCCATTTACAAACTAAACTCATAAACTACTATTAATAACTTACCATGAAAACGCTTGTAGATTTTTTTTTTTGAGTTGTTTTTCAGAGGCCTGTTGGGTTTTACTGTCAGCACCACCTTTTCTACTGCAACAAGTGACAATGGAGCCTACCAAAGGATGCGTTAACGCATTCCATCCTCTCAAAGAGGAAAAGTATAATTAAAAATGGCAGTACTAAATGTACGAAATCATTGTTTGATATTACACAAAATGTGCTTAGCTTACAAGTAAGGTGTTGGATTTTGCAGGCAGAGCTTCATTTTGACTGCATTATTTAACTCCATTTATATCTATCTGATTTCATGACTGCACAAAAGTTGCAGGTCATTGCCCCCGAATAAGAAATACTTTAATTACTATAGATGTTTATTTAGTCCCAATGCAATTAAACACAGCTATGGATGTTTATGCCTTTAAAAACAAACTAAAATACGTTTTAACTAGAATATAATTGAGAAGTGTAAGAGGGAAGAAAAGCCTTCTTGCTGTTTGACAGTTTTGTTGGCTCTAGAAGTACTCAGAGTGGGGACAGGAGGGGGAAGAGGAGAAACCTGTGTTAAATTTAAACATTCATAAAATTAGTAGATTTTCCTGTAGCTATTCCCGGGAAGCTGCTGTGCATGGATTCTTGGCCATGCTGAGTCCTAGCACTGGCTTCCTGGTACTTCTGTGGACAGGGCAGAGTAGGAAGGCACTTTCTTTTGCTCCCTTAGCTGCTGAGCCTTACATGAATCTGAGGCCAGGGTACGAAGGCCCTGGCTGACTGGATGACGTGGGTGGGTGGGTGAGTGGGAGTCTCGGGGCATGTGTGTGTGTGTGTGTGTGTGTCCGTCCCTTTTTTTAAAGGGGTGTTATCTCATGAGGGAGCAAAATGAAACACGTCTGCAACAGAACCTTAGTTTGGTGAGCATTTTTTTCTGCCAAGTAAGCTGGCTTAAATCAGTAAAACAGTAGTCCTGAAAGAAAGGGTAGCATGTAAATTCCCCCCACCCACCCATTTTAATAGCTTAAGATTCTCAGGTAGTTGAAAAACAGCGCTAGCAAAAATCTGGATAGTTTTCCAGTCTGTGTGTAGCTCAAAATAAAAATCTCAAGAGCACTGAACCAACTGTTGTAAATAATTCCTTTATCATATAAAAGAACAAAACAAAACCCCAAAACAACAATACTAAATGCAAAGTACTTTCCTTTTTCAGTGAGTTGTTGCTTGCCTTTATACAACTACACACAAAGTGATCGTTCTTAGTCCCATTCCAGGGCCTTGCTCTTGAGCAACTGACTGCAGGATTTGGCCAAAATTGCATAATATAATCACTTTGTTACCAAAGTTGAACTTATTGGAACTCAGTATCTTTCATTTGCTGTCCCAGCCGTGTTGTCTAGATTTATACAAAAAAACCTTCATTGGGATGAAGCCTGATCTAGTAGGCCCAACTTTTTTTTTTCCCCTCCTACTTTAAACTGATCCATCTTTAAATTCTTTTTTGTATGCAGTTTGCGTGACCTTTTGGTGCTTCACCTACAAAGATACAGGTGCCTTGAAAATTATTCTAGAGACTGTTTGGTTTATAGCCTTCTGCATCTGTCTTTTGCACTGGATAAGTTACTTAGCATCACCTATACATCCACTGTGTAAGTGATCTAGGTCTTGGTATCTAGTTTCTTATCATTTCCTAATATACTCACTGATGCTAATTACCTAGCATTTGTGGATTTGGGCTTTTTATTCCTCCTCCCCCTGGCGCCCAAACTGGAAAACGTAGCAGAATTAAAAACTTCCTCCTTTAACATTTAACTCAGGTAAAATGGCATATCATTGGCATGTATGGATTAAATCAGGAAACCAAACTCTCAAGTAAGGAACTCTTTTCTCTGTTTAGGCAGAGAAAGGATACTATAAGTAAGCACAAAGTTTTGAGGTAAGTACTAAACACAGGTTTGTTAATTATGTCACTAAACTATTGCTAAAGATGTCATTAAACTAATCTAATACCAACACTTTGCTTGCAGGTACCACAACTTCCTGGCTTTTCCTGGCTAAAGCCCTGCCTTTCAGCAACTGATATTGTGTACATTGGCTTGAGGGATGTGGAGCCTGCTGAATAGTAAGTTGATTTAAATGAAAGGAGTTTTGTAAGCTCTGAAATCACAGGTTTCTACCCACATCTGGCTGTGCCTGAGGGTTGTTAGATTGAAGTTTAGGCCAGTAATGCGTTTTGGTGTTGTTTTTTTTTTTAATTTTCTTTAATAGTTATATTTTGAAGAACTATGACATCCAATATTTCTCCATGAGGGAGATCGATCGCCTTGGAATTCAAAAAGTTATGGAAAGGACATTTGAGCAACTGATGGGCAGGTAACTAACTATGGATGAAGAGAAGCTGTTTCATAAAGATAAAATATAAGCTGATTAGTGACCTCACAGCAAATCTGTAATCCTTACAGATATAAACTACTCTGTACCGTCTACTTGTTAATAACGAGTATCTACTTTTCTGAAAGTTGTTTAAATGGAGGTCATTTCTGATGGAAGGCAGCTGAGTGATGATCCTCATGGAACTGTGAAAGCGTCCAGTAAACAGCAATGCCTTAGCACTGACTTTAGTCCTTGACTTCCACATCTTGAAATGGAATCATTTCACAGTGGTTGGCAAAGAGCTTTAAGTGATATTAGTCACTACAGTTGTGGCTCTGGTTTAGATGACTTCTCCTATTTCTTAAGGGATCCTGTATCTTGCTTCAGTTTTACAAAAGCGTTGAATCAACTCTTAATCCAAGGGTGCACATTATCGCTTTTAAAAGATATATAGGAACTGACAGTAACTTGAATTCAGCTATCAGTACACGAGGTAGGAGCATTTGATGGCTTTCTCCTTAGACTATGCTCACATATCCTGTCCTGATGTCAATTGCTATTCTCAGTCCTGCTACTGAAGATCACTGTTAACTATTCCCTTACTTTGTTCAGTACTAAACTCTTTGCTAACCTTGTTCAAGTTGCTGAACCAGGTCAGTAAATCATGCTATAAGGACTTGGACACAGGGAGAGGAAGGGTAACCTCTTCTGTTACCACAGGATAGAACAAAGTGCTGTAAGGACCTTGGTTGCTGCACACTGCTGTATCTAAAGCTGTGCTCACCTTTCCTAGCTGCAGCTACACCAAGTAAAGAAGTTGCTAATCCATCTGCAGTAATTTGGAAGTACAAAGTCTTCCACTTTGCTTGTCACTCCTGTGAGCTACTATTGTCCTTTTTATTAAGCTCTCATGGGTTGCCAGACTTCATGTAGTAAGTAGTGACCTTTTAAGTTTGAGCTCATCCTTTACTTTTTTTTTTTTTTTTTTTATATCAGCTAGGCTTACATGGCAGAGTTTTGGAGGCAGCCTTCAACTACTGTCCTAAAAAAATGTAGAATGCCCCATTCATCTTGATGAACTATCTATTAAACCCTCAAGCTTGGTGCTTCCCCCACCTTAGATGCCACGCAAATCAGTGTTTCAGTCTTTCACCCTGGCTTTCCTTACAAGAGGAGGGATGTGGCTAGATCATAGTGTATACTTTTCTACATTGTTCCAACTAGGGAGACAAGCCTCAGGTAAGATGGTCAGAACTAAAGTACTTCTCTCCAGAGAAGTCAGGTCTGAGCAGATGCTCAGTGAAACTAGAAAGAAAACTTCTTTCTCAGCATAGAAAAAGTTCTGGGCTAAGAAATATTTCAGTGTCTCCAAGCAATTTCTTTAAATCATTTCCAAATGCAAACAAAACATTGTGTAGGACTTGAGGGGGGCACTTAGTAACATGGAATGTGATACTACTATGCTGATCAACCCGGATGGTAAAAATGCATGTAGAAAAAAGTTTTCAGTTTTCTTTTCCTATTTTTTTTCTTTTACTCTCCAGGAGGCAGAGACCAATTCACCTCAGTTTTGACATTGATGCTTTTGATCCCTCACTGGCTCCAGCAACTGGGACTCCTGTTCTAGGTGGACTAACTTACAGAGAAGGCATGTACATCACAGAGGAAATATACAGCACAGGTAGGAGTTGACCAGCAGTACTGCCCTAAGCCATGACAGGGGAAGATGCACAGAGCCCACATCTGTTATGTTTTTCCTGTATAACTAGAAAATAAGATGAATGTAGCATAAGCTAAGTGTCTGAAAAGTCAATTCAACCTTCAATAAGGAGAGGGAAAAAAAAGTGCGATGACTGGGCAGTACCTAGGTGTTGGAAGCAGCTTAACCGTTTACACCTTCCACTTTACCAAAACTAGGTGAAATACAGTTATATTAACAATTCATGCTAAAAGTAACCTGATTGTACTGTCCTCTTTTTCTAAATGCATGAAGCCAGATGAAAAGAGGGGCACTGTCTGCATCCAATCTTAAACACTCTGGAGTTCCATTCTAGTGCTAGCAAATCAAGCTTTCACTATGTCTGCTACAGCTGACATAATATATGAGGACTTCCTCCTTATGCCATGGAGAGACTTCATTTAATTTATTTAAACAAAGAATTCTTTGCAATAGAAGTTAGGATAGGAAGAAGAAGAAAAAAAACAGACCACAATGAAATTAAAAATGAGATAGCAAAAATTAGTATGTAAAACTATTTTATATCTCCTAATTTCTGGATTGGGCAAAGATGAAAAAAACAAATGGGTTCCTTTCATAATTGCATTTGGAGCATCAGACTTAGTTTCCATGAATGCTAAAAGCATGGATGAGTGAGGTAGTGACAATGCAGAAAAAGAACCAAAGAAAATCACAAATTTTTGTCCAAGAATGACAACCTCTCCCCTCACTTGAAAGCCAATTTTACTCATCAAACGGGTAAAGCAGGTCACAAGTTCAAATATCAGACTTGCTACAAAGAGTGAAATAGGTGTTCCTGGATTCTTCCCTGTTTCATAATAACAAAGCTGCAAATTATTTTCACAGGAATGCTTTCAGCTGTGGACATGGTAGAAGTCAATCCACTGCTTGGTGCTTCTCAAGGGGAGGTGAATGCAACTGCTAGTCTTGCAGTAGACGTGATAGCAGCGTGCTTTGGGCAAACAAGGGAAGGGGCACACATTGCTTTTGATGAACTCCCAACACCCAGTTCTCCAGATGAATCTGACAGAAAAGAGCAAGTGAGGATTTAAGAGCCCAAAGCATGGGTACATTGGACATTAAAGAGCTCGGCTGAGGCACCTGAGTGAATAGATTGACTGTCAAAACTTGATAAATTCTGTACCATCTTAATTTTTAAATAAACTAGCTTTTTCACTTGATCAGTGGCTACTGTACTATATACCAAGTTTTATTCATTTAGTTAGGTATATACAAACTGAGACAATAAAACATTTATTACCTTCTTATTAATCTTACCAGTAGTTCAACTCTGTCTGTGCATTTTCCTTTTACTCCCATTCTGTGCCTTTCTAGGGTTAGTACAGTTTCAGTTGAACATGCTGTTGCATGAGACAGTTCAATCCTTAAACAGTCAAAAGGAACAGATACCCCGTTCAGTTCCTCAGCAGGAGAAAAACTCATCTCAGTCATGAAAAATTCATCTGCTGCGAAAGAATTTGTAGTAGACCACACCTCCCAGGATGGCTAGTTCCAGGATGATGATGACTGACAGCAACAACTTATTTGTGGTTACTCTAGAGTTTAAAAAAAAAAAAATTGATCACCATCTTTATACCTTAAGAGCAGAAGGCACTGTCTGAATAGCTGTTAACAAGCAGGAAGGGACAAGCTCAGTGTTTTTTCTACTGTATTCCTGGAAATTCTGCTTAAATATTCTACTTCAATAGCAGTAGTTCTGCCCGCCTCCCCCTCCACCCCCACTAAGTACAAAGAAGGTAGATCAAACTGCTTTACATGTGCCTATTAACTGAATTAAGCAAAAAGGGGAATATCAGTTGAACTCTTCTATAGGAGCTGGATGTGTTAAAACCCACATTGTGGTGCTTTTACTTGAAACTGTAGGAGCTGAAGTAAAACTATAAAACCTCTAAATAAGAATGTACTTCTCCTATTGAAAAATTCCACAATTATCATAACTTCTCTTAACAACAGGTATAGAGGAAAGGTTGTTAGGATAAAAGTACATACTTAAGACACGCTTCTCCATGTACTGGTTTATAAGGATAATGAAAGCACAAGACCTAAGAAACTGTAGAGACACTTAAGCAGCCAAGGCCTAGTCATCAAAACAGTACGTGGTCAGGCTGAGTTTCTGGTATGACAGTCTCGCTACTCTAGGGTGTTACTATGGGCTTACCGGATTTGTCTGTGTCATCAGACATTGAAATCACTTAATGCTACAGTGGTTTGTGGAACAACAACTTCTGACCTTAACAACAAAGCATTTCATGAGAAGTCACGATATATTAGCAATTCACTGTAACCTGCTTATATCCAAATCCCTCCCCTGACAATTTATCATGCACAATGGTTAAAGACATATTATCCTAAATGAGCAGCACAAATTCAGTAGTGTTCAACTATCATGTACTCCATTAAGCAGTTACTCGAGCAGACAAAACATGAATTACCATCTATGCACTTGCATGCAACTCTGTTCACACATTCTCTGAAGCCTCCCTGTAGTTCCAGCTGACACTGTACTGCTTAGTTCTTGCCTTAAACTAGTAGGCAATTATACAACCTGCTGAGTACTGCTCTTGTACAAGTCAGTCATATTACTCACCTCCTGGACATGGTACGCAGAATCTTACGACTCTTGCTTAAGTTTTCACTTGTATTCACCAACTAAGAAGAAATGAAAGTTATTTACCAGTTAAGCAAGTATACACCAACTCTGTAAAGGTGCACCAGCAGGCAGTTGATATTGATATGTTGCAATTAATAACAGATTCAAGGCTAGCCATATATTCTCAAAATCCAGAGACAACATTACTGCCCTCCAGGTACAATACAGCTGCAGAGCTGCCGTCTTATTAAGAAAGAAATAAGATGTCCCGATACACTTTCCTGTCGGTACATACAAAGACTGTATGCAATTTAGGAAAACTTCCTGTCCCCTTAGCTAACCTAACAATATTGGAAAGTTGGTATTAGCTCCTTTTATTAAATTTCATTTCATTCATTTCATTATTCAAGTTGTCAATACGAGGAAAAAAAATGGTGTCGGCATGTTCTTCCCTAGTGCACTTCTAGAACTGTTTGAAATGCTACTAAGTTTCTAGAAAAGAACCATTTTGCACTGGTAGGTCTAAGCGAGTCATTAGATTTCAGCTCCAAACTGTTAATAACTAATGCATTTCAGCTTTGTAGTGCTCAGAAATGAATTGTTAAGTATTTATCAGTCAGCTATTAAGAAAGAAGTAATTAAGGGAAGTCATGGACAACTGAAAAAAAGCTGTTGTCTCACACAGACTAGGGACTCATGATGTATGGTCACTGAAGCTCTCCTTGTAAGACCTGGCCAGGCCACTTTCAAAGCTTCAAGATAAGTAAAAGGCAAGTCAGGTTATTTACCATTACAGCACACAAGATCCCTGCTTGCAAAATTCCCCTTCTGGTTTAAGCTACTACCCTCAACTGCAAGACTGACCCTGTAGGTACATTTATGTTTCATTGAGATGCACTGGACCAAGTTCAGAAGAAAACTACCACTTCCACTTAAAGCATGCTGGATTTTGGATCTTTGCTATGAAAGAATCAGCAAGAAAGTCTGTTTCTAGTTGGGGTGTGTGCATTTTAAAACAATTTTAGCAATACAATGTCTACAATGCTTATTATAAAAAGCACAGCTGCATAAATAATCTGTGGATAGACTGATATATTTGAAGAACTATAGTACTTTTTTGATAACAAAAAATTGACAAAAAATACACCTACAAATCTTGAGACATTTCCCTTCCTACCCTCCAACCCAAATTTGGGAGTAGGGCAAATCAAATTCTAACTAAAAGTGAAAAATTACTTAAACGAAGAAGCTTCAGGCTTTGTGGCAATGAGTATAGATAACTCCCGAAGAAAGGGGTATGCTTTCTGTTTTGGCAGCATGCGCTTACTCGTCTCACTCCATGTCCCCCTGCAAGTCACTCATCTAAAAGGTAAGGAGCAGATCAGGAGGATGAGGAGCAGGCATCCTGCCTGACACCAACATTCAGAGGAACTTACCAACAGCCTTCCAAATCTAAACCACTACTATTACTCTTTATGTGCTGGGCAATACTCTAGCATTTTTGATTAGATCAAATTACTGTTCTATTTTGAAGAGGTGCTTTTGGAATGGTTTCTTGTTACATAAGAGATCACATTCTTCTGTGTACTTACTCTCGTTTCATCACTGAAGAAATTGTATTTTAGGGACAACTTGTCAAACGCAATACTAAACTACAGTTACCACCAAGTCTCCAAAAGGCTCAGGTTCTTTCTTATATACTAGAAGTGCTCTCATTTATATCCTGTTGTGGGGAAAACAAAATCTGTATACTTTAAACCATTCTAAATTAACAAATAAGGTACATTTAGATACTCTCTTTAGCAAAAATATCTTCATAGCTATGTGTGGTGAACAGGACCTCGTGACATTTCTAAAGAATTCTTAATTGTGACTGAGTAGATTATACCTAAAGTTGTGTTAGCAGTAAGTTGACCTGTTTTTTATTTAAACAGTTGCAGTGTCACAGAGGATCAAGGATTAATAACGTGCATCCTATGTCACTGAACAGAACAAAAAAGGTAAAATACCGTCAAGGTAATTGAGCTATTCAGTCCTAACATCACAAACAAGTAATGGTCATGATTGCCAACCAGCAGCCAGCTGCTATTGCTTCTGATGTTAATGGTTTAGACTCTTAATGATTCTAGGAAGCCAACAAAGTCAAGCAAGACTGAGCTGGACTCTGCTCCCTTTTGTACTTCACCATAAATACTAGTCCAGCTTTGTCGTACGCTTTCAGGGGTAAATCTCTCAAGAATTCTTGCCTTCATCAGTCAGTGCTCTAATTTAACCAAGTGAAACTTTGTTGCTGATAATGGAAATACCCATGAACATAGGTTCTTTCTTGAACACGGATCTTCCTTGGTGTGAGATCTAAGCACTAGAAAACATCTTTTCTCATTCAGTGAGCTCATTCAACACAAAAATCTGTGAATTAATCATTTCAGAGCAACTCACCTCTCCGACAATAGTTTGCTCAAAAGAAATATAATTTGACGTCATAATTTGACATCAGACTGTCAGATAATTTGAAGCAATTTACGCCATTACAGTTTTAAGCTATTCACTGTTGAGCCACTTTCTCTACTGTCCTCGAGAGTGTAAGCGACCTACTAAGTCTCTAATCAATCAGTTTAAAAAGTCAGCTAACAACTAGTTTAGCTTCTTTCATCAAGCTTAAATAGCCACAATAAGAATAATATCAGCATTTGTATTTTTGGGAATCACTAGAACTGGGTTCAAAAAAATCAAAATAGCTAGTTCAGTTCCGCAGTCTTCTTAGTGGCAAGTACTTGTTACTAGGAGAATTCAAACTACATTGGGATAAGCAAAACACATGTTCCCCCTCCCTTATCAGTGTACTGCTCTGCATTCCTCTTCTTTTCCTCACCGAACCCAGGCTCTTATACATTTTACTGGATGGCTGGCTCACGGATTTCTTCCTATGAGACATACCATAAGTATGAGAACTATCATATTGTATTCCTTATATACCACAGAGGCAGCTTGGCTATACTAGGGCAGATTGGTGAAAAATTCACAGTGCTGATATTCAGGCGCCAGTTTTGCGATGTCCCTTTGCAAGCTACAGAAAAATAGCAGCAGTATATAGGTCTAAGCACCTAGTCACGCACAGATACTGTAGCAGACATTTGGCCATCACGCTTTGGGCACTTCCATAGCGTTTATTCTCCTTTTATGAGCCCCGCACAGACATGTGACAGCCTGGATTTGGTTTGTAAAAACATCAGCTGGATTATCATGTCCAGGGAGGTTTCCAACAGTAATTACTGACATACAGTTCCCACTAAGCTAACATCAGCTTGTTCCAATACAACGCCCACTGTTTTTCTGCTTACTCTGCTCTTGGTGCGTTCCAGCTGCTCTCGCTGCTCTCCAAGTTCTTCAATTATATCAGTACCAATCTGATCCGTCTCGGCAGCAATTCGGTGTGAGCGCTCAATGCTCTGAGTGGCTCGGTTTAGGCTGTCTGTGCCCTGGAGAAGCAGCACCCTCTGTGACTGCAGATTAGTCTGAAAAATAAGGTGTGCCTAACTATTAAACATAGAAATAGAGCTGTATTAGGCTTCTGACACATTAAAGCGTTAAGATGTAATTCTGTCAGACATTCATTTATATTAGCTGTACAGACTTCTTAGGATAACAGGTGTAGCCCAGTTAATTTTGAAATAGTTCTCATTCACATCATAAAATCATGACCAAATATGATTCAATCTTGAAAAAGGTTGCACAGCTAAAGAATTAACACATTTAGTTACAAAAATTGACTTTTTTTTTCCTCCTTCTCTCAGTAATTTCTGTTTCTATCAAAGGATATTTACATGAAAATATTATCTTTGCTTTCAAGGTGCTAACTTATTCATATCTAAATTCAGTCTCATTTGAGAATTAACAATTGGTTGCTGGGGAGATCACTAAGTGTTTACACAGTCAAAAATATTATGAACAAACAGCACTAGCAGATGGACTGCTAAGTAACAAAGATCCTCTTTTCATGTCAGTAGCTTCAGCTAAAGGATAAAAAACGTTTGCTGACCTTGGAGCCAAAAGGAAGCTCAAAATAAAGTATTTTCTTAAACTCAGAAAGTCTAATGTATCATCCAGCTCTCAAGTATTATAAAAGAGGAATCAAATGACAAAACGTACCTACTTACTGTAGAATGAGTTATTAAAGAAAGAACTTCCCTCAAAGCCTCTATATTTAAGAAGAACAAATAAAGCAACCCTACCTCCATGAACTCTCTTCATATATCACAGCACTTGCCTCTGAAGGTGGCAAGCAAATTCAGCCTCAGTAGCTCAGATATATCTAAGCAAATTTGGTACTAAGCAAAGAAACTGGTGTATTTCTTGCACTGTCGAGCATATCCATAGTGAACAAAGTGCTAGAAGATGACTTCTTAGGTTTTCTTTATATTATTTAAACTAAGATAGAGAAGAGAATTCTTAAAAGAGAATTCTACCAAAGAACCGACATGGTGCATGTGAGTCACACACTTGGCTAATTTTAGAGATGAAAACTACATCAGTCAACTGCATCGCTGCTGTGCTTTCAGTGCTACAGGGGAATGATTAAACAAAGCATTTCAGTACTTGCAACTAGTCTCTAAAAGTCAGTTTTTAAAAAATATGGCCTATAAGATATTAAACAGATGACACCCAAGGAGTACTATTTTAATTATAATAAATCATTATCTTAAAACAAAAAAGCTCTCTTACAAGTTCTAGGTGTTCCTTCTCCTCCCCGAGACAGATACTCATTTTACATGCAGAGACACATACAGGGAGTTATGCAAGCAGAGAAACTAAGTGGATTAAAGTAGAACCACTAGAAATAATACATCTGGATTTTTTTTAAAAGACAATCACAGAAGTTTAAATACAATTTATATCTAATGCTCACACTCTGTTCATTTTCTGTGGAGAAGATTCCATATTTTATATCTCCTTGACTTCCAGGGCCCAATCCCAAATCTGTACTTCTCATCTCTCTCTGGAACATGGAGAGGTCTCTTCTGTAAGCCCGGATTTTGCTCATCATTTGGTTGCGGAAAGGCAGAGGAGCATATTTCAATTCTTCCTCCATTTCCCGCAGCTTTAATGAAAGAAAATGTGTTTATTTTTTAAAGTATCACATTATTCTTACCAACAGCCATACTCAAAACTGAGCAGCACATGAGGGAATTCACATGTTTTTATGGGAACTGGAGGTAGGAGAGGGAGAATTAACCCCAAACCATGTATCCCTCATCTAGTATCAAGTACACCATTCTGTTTAATGTTACTCAGCCTACGTGAATAAATTTATGCCAGGATTTATGATTTCTGGCATCACATCTTAATGACCTAAAGAATTTTCCTCTAAGATACTAAGTTTGAACTTCTCATTCCGTCCTTTAATATTTTGCAGTTTAGCATGTTATTGGCACCATCCATAGTTTGATTTACATTGTCATATCCTATCTCAGCAGCACACGTTGAGTTTTGTTAAACAACAGCTTATGCCAGGAAATAACAAACTATGCAACACTTCAAAGAAAAGTTCACTGCCAAGCTTAATGCTTGACATCTTTTGAAATATCACTTTAACTTCTAAATTTGCACTTTTCCCTTTCATGTTTCCCTTTCATGTTGTTGAGTGCAAGTATCAGCTTCCCATCATACCTGTGCAATAGAGCTCTGTTGCACAGATAGGCATGCCACCAAACTCGTAAGTCAAACTTTCAAGCCTGACTACTGGAGTTAGGATTTACAAACCCTGGGATTTTGCAATGCATGAATTTTCACATAAACTTTTGGTGACAGCTGCTACAAATTCAGAATGCTTAAAGCTGTCTCCCAATATGACCTCTACACCCTACACATCATCAGAATCTACAGATACACCTCAGTCTGGTGCAGTTTCTGGTGCAACTGCTGTAATAAAACAAACAAAACACACAACACCCCCCATTTAAAAGGTATATTATACCGCTAACAAATAGCTCATTATTAAGAAAGGGAAGTTTAATCCATAATGTCTTGCCTAAAAAGACAATTAATTGGTATTTTTGCATTGTTGCATGTCACCTGCTGCCCATGAAGCCTTTATCTTCTTAGTACTCTATACAACAGAATTTTCAAATATACAAGATCCCTGCATTTAACCATCACATACCCTGCATTTAACCATCACATAATTACAGAAAGATCAGATGGGTTAAGACTGCCATGAAATAAAGACAGCAGAAAAAAGACAAAACAGAAATTCACTACCTGCTTTTGGCAGTACTCCCCACAATTGCTAACAATTTTAACTGCACCGCTATCACTCTCCTTCACGCAACAGAGGGAAGCGATATCCAAACTGATCAGTAATAGATAAACAAATAAATACATGTGTGTACATATGTGTGTGGGTATGCATATACACACACACAGCAGTCTTGGCCAGCAGATGCATTAATCCGATCAACAGAGCAAACAAAAAAAAAAAAAAACCCACAATATTTCCCTGCCAGCATAAGTACTCAATGAAAGTAAAATCTGCAAGTATTGCCCTTTTAAAGGCATCAATGTGTCAATCAGTCACAGAAGCCACAATTCTAGGCTTAAACTTACCGTTTCATTTGCTTCACGCTGTTTCTCATCAAATTCTCGAACTAGTTTTTTTCTCTCCTCTGTTGAATAAAAAGAAGTATGCTAGATAAACTAGAAATAAATTACAACAGAATTCAATCCATTATGGGCAAGGAAGCTGACTACAGAGACCCCATGACAAAATTTACCACAAACAGGAACAGTCTGTTCTTATGATAACTTGAATAGGTTGGGAGCAGGGGCAATGACCCTAGCTGGCCACTAGCTTTGCTGGACAAAAGAAGTCATTATTCAAACTTGAAATATTTTTCCGACCTAATCCTCAAAACTCTACTCCCAGAACTGCACTGAGAAACAATTAACATGAAAGAATAACAAAGCGGATGTGTTGGTAAACATCTCAAATATTTCTTATTTTTGCATAAATTCTGCAAGATTATTGGAAGCTGAAACTTAATTTGAATTTGGATACAACATGAAGTCAAGCTACGTTTCCAAGTGATCCCTGAAGTTTCCAGTAGACACAGTACTCTGCATTCCAGTAGTCATCTAATAAAGTTAGGTGGTAAACAGGATAAGAGACCTTTAACATTAAAGATGCTATCAAGATATCAGACCAGGTACCCAAATTACTGCACAAACGCTTCCCTCTTCTGAGATGAGATCAGTTGTTTGGCCTAGCCAACAAAGCTATACATTTTAATTGTTTGAGATAGTCACTAGGTAGTCAAAGATGTGCTGGCATCCTTGTATCTAGCACTTTGCAGACCAAAGAATTGCCTTTCAGTGCTGCTATATTTTTTAACAAAATCTTAAATATATATTTTGCATCTGTTAAAAAACAGAATCAGCCATCATGCTTTTCTAATATCCAAGATCAACAAAAGCAGTATCAGGGAAGCAGAATTCTGAAACACCTCATATCTCAATGGAACAAAAATAAATGTTTTATAAGCTTTTGCAAAAGCACAGAAGGCAACCACCAGAGGACTCTCTTAAAATACTGCAAATTTAAACCAAATTCTATCAGAAATCTAATAAATGTGCAATAGCCTAATTCATCTCTCTCTCAGGAGAGAGCAATTCAGTCTTAAATGAAACCTTGGGTAGTAAAAAATGCAGGCAGTCACGTTGGTGAAACTTACCTAATTTGATTAAACTGTTTAGACATCATTATGAAGACACTGTTGTAGCAAAAAAAACCTGACTTTATAATAACTTTTGTTAATACAGTCCCCTGCATGAACAGCAGCTTTTTAAGGCACTAAGCTTTCAACAGCTGAACAGGAGAAAGTTTTGAAGTGATCAAAACATTATAATATAGCTCCTCTCATTTACATGACGCACCTAAGCTGTACTGTTTTTTGTAAGTACAAAAAACTGAATTTCTTTAGAGAAAAGTATATTTTAAACTGATCCAGGCTATCTGAAATGCTTTCTTATAAACGTGGAAGAGAAAAGGTTTCCAGATCAAGGATTCCGTTATCTTATCGGTACAGAACGGAATAGCATTTCCAAATTTGCGTCCCTCAAAGATGGCTACCAAGGAACTAAAGATTGTCTTACCTGGAGTTTTGGGAAGGTGCCGGACATCTTAAAAGGAGTGTGTAAAATTTCTTTTATTGTCTCCTGAAGTTCTCAGAATCAGATATCTCAAGAAAGAGAGACATGCACACCCCATATGTATTAGAAGCAGACAAAGCACACCAGCAGTGCAGCATGCCTTCACCAGATAGAGAAATTCCTAACATATCTTAAACTCTCTTGGAAATACTTTCCAGAGTATTATTGTTTTTTCCAGTAACAGATTTAAAGAATAACATCATTATACTAAAATTTCGTAGCATGTCTGAAATAATCAATTTGTAATTATTTGTAATCTTTTGAAAAATCTGCAAGCGTTGCAAAAATTGTTTCCTGTAAATATTGTTTACATCTACCGCTCAAGACTATTATAGTCTTGACAAAGCTCTACTTTACTGAAAAACTCATCACTCTCCTTTCTACAAGAAAGTGAGGATCTCTTATAAGGAATTTTTTTTATTTTAATATTATAAATATAAAATTAAATTACAATAGAGAGTGTTGTACTTCTTGCTCTATGGAACTTTTCAACCCAAAGTAATGTTAGTGACATTCTCAATTCCCTCAGAGCCCTTCAAGTAAACAGTGATGCAAGCACAGTATTTTCTCATTCTTTTCCTTAAAGTCAGGTATTAAGAGACAGATCCTGCATTTCAAGGCAGCAGGGACAGTCGCTGTCTCATAAAACCATCTTCAAAAAATTTTATGCAAACAATATCCAGATTCACAGGCCATTCTCCAAGAGAGGGTATGTTTTTTACTCTTGCTGACCAGCAGTGAAATTAAGTCAGCTTTGAAAGTTGTAATTTGCAGTTCTGAATGTCCCTCTTGTGCCAAACTCTCTGGAACCTTGATAATGAGGATTGTGACCCTGAATTTAACTCAATATTAAATACAGAGCCAGATACGAAATGGAATACTAAGCTTTTCATAGCACGTGTTATCTAGCACGCAGAGTGGTAGATTCTGAACAAACCAATTATTTCCAGGATTTGTGATTTTATACCTAAATACATGGAACTAAGGAATTCTGGGGATCACAAGACTAAACTATCACAGAGCATGGCTTATAACCTCTACTCATTCAAAAGAACACCCATACTCAGAAGAAACTGGTTGCAGCAGTTCACGACAATTACGTATCGCGTTTCTCCTTTAAAGCAAGTATTTAACCAGAGTCGGCCACACTGGTAGAATTCTCCTTGCCAGATCACTTCCCTTTCCAGTTCTCAGAACACAACCGAATATTAAGAACTGAATTGGAAAGGCACTACACAGTCTTTACAGAGAGGTGTTCTGTCAGAGAGTGTTTTAACCACTAGTATGAGCTCCATTACTTAGCAAAGAATTCCTAAACAATTAGATTTTGTGCCTAGCAGAACTTTGTCTAGTTTGCTTTACATTAGATTGTTTTTCTAGGCTGTGAGTAGGGCACAGACCACACTTTTAAAACAGTCTTTTACAATAGAAAATTTCACTGGTAAATAAATCTATGAACTGTTTCAGACAAACGTACTGCTGAAAACAGCTTCTAGTTCAACTGATGAGATTTTGAACTGAAATCTTGAAACAAGATAGCAACACTGATGAGAGAAATGCAATTCAGGCAGTTCACTTGCAAATAGCATGAAAATATGCTAAAACTTCAAATCCAGGTAAAGTTCTAGTGCCACCAAGTAACCACCTCTCCACCGAGCTGAGACTGAAGCTGAACGCCCAGCAGCACAGCAGCGCTTGGCTGCAGAGCTGCAATTTGCCAGGCAAGAGGAACTGCTCCCCAGGGGTAAAGTGACACAAGCACCCAGCTGTTTCCATGTCTGGGGCTTTACATGACTATGCCCAATACTCCACAGCAAAGCTATGAGAAAATAGCAGTAATGGGAAAATAAGACATAGAGAAGCCGGACCTAACAGAGCCACGACAGCATGACCTCCCAGGAAGCAAACCAAGGGACAGTCGCGGGGAAGGAAAGTCAGCTCGAAGTGATGCACCAACTTCCTGCAACTGTCCTAGCAAACTCCTTCCCTCCATAAGGGCTTTTAGAGAGACTCTGTTCTCTGGTTGTAAAAATGGATTTATCTACAGAAAAGCAACCCAGGCTCCCTGCAGCTGTCCTGTTAGTTAGCAGGCCCCACCTATGCAGCGGGGTGGCCGGCCGGGAAGCACCGGCAAGGGCCCGGCAGAGGGGCCTCCGAGCAGGGAGGAAGGGAAGCAGCGACGAACGGCGCAGCGACCAGAC